TCTGTACTGGTTCCCATAGGGTTGAGAGCCATGAGAACTGAAGGCTGGAGGAGAATTGGGGAGCAACATGTATAAGGTTTCTTATACAATGCCAGGCTCTGCTAGATGTTTTCAAGTTTTTCTCATTTTATATAGGCATCACACGTGCTGATTGAGACTCAGAGAGGTTAAGTGACCAGTTCAAGGTTGAACAGCCACTGGGTGACAAGTTCAGGATTTGACCCAGGTCTGACTCGAGGGCGCCTTTTAATTTCAGCTGTGTCGTGAGAACCACACTGTGTCTTTGGTCCCACTAGTTTGGGGAGATCTGTTTCTTATTAGAAACCTTGGCAGGGAGCATCACCTTGACCCCATAGTTTTCCCTAGGTATGATGTGATGGGCCTTGATTACTTTACTGACTTCCCCACTGTGTTCCTGAGAATCCCAGAATTGTTGCACGGTCTGTGTTGACAGAAGTGGGTTAAGGCCACCTCCCAATTGTCCACAAATTGAAGTGCTTTTTCTTAGTTCTGGCTGCCCAGTACCCATCATTCTGCTATCACCGTGAGCAACTCTTAGCCAGATCTCGAAAAGTCTAAGATAAAGATACCTGTGTCTGTGAAGGAACATGCAGGGGCAGGCAAGGAAGGCTACTGACACCTTGGTAGAGACAGGACGAGGAAGGGGAGCTAGAGCCAGTCATCCTCTCCCTTTTTAGCTACAAGGAGGTGCTAATGCATAGGTGTGCTTCCAGAAACGTCAAGAAGTTCTGTGTCCCTTCCCTTGGCCATCCCAGTTCGTTTGTGTTTTCTGGAAAAACATCTAAAATGATATCATCTGAGCTTCATCAGAATTGTTCTGCGGATCAAGTCATGCTCACCCTTCATTATGTTGTGCTGAGAGCACTCGGAGGCTCCAGTTGTTTTTACTCTGATATTAATTGTCCTCCAGGGTTTGCTTTTCTACCTAGGCAAATGGAACACTGCAAAGGAAGCTAAAATGCTTGAGCTCAGAAGAGCTGGGGATTGCTCAGCGAGCTGGACTGGTACATTCTGTGGATGTGAGGAAAGGCCGTGTGCAGGGAGGTCAGAAGCGGAGAACTGAAGGGGAGGGATGTGCTGGCTGGGACCTGGCAGAGGGGACAGGAAGGGAAGGTGCCTACTGGGGGGGGGGATGCGGAGGGCTGCGTGCCCATGGGAGACATGATTGAAGACAGAGATGTGTACCATTTGTGGAGGATTCCAAAGGATGGCAGCAGAGTTCGGAATTTTCCTGTGTGGGGGAATGCCCAAAGTCGGTTGCATGGGACGGGACAGGTAAAGACGGTGCTATAGGGTGTGCCTGGATTAGTACACTCTAGAGGGGAAGATAAGGTAGAGCGTTTATCACATTAACTTTTAGGAATGAAATGCTGAAAGCTTGGATGAGGATGGAGGCATGGCTATAGAAAAATAGATGTTTAGAGGCAAAACTCTCTGTAAGACGCTGTCCGCCGTCATGACACATGGCATTGTGCCTTTCTTAGGCGAGTGTAACACGCAGACTGAATGCTAATGTAAGCTACAGCGTTTAGTTCCTAATAATGATATATCATATCGGTTTGTCAGCTGTGAGAAATGTGCCACACGAGTGCACAATATTAATAATGGAGAACTGGTGTTGGGAGTAAAGGAGATTATATATATGCAAACACACACAAATATGTATTCTATATATATATTTATATATATATGTATAAAATCCTCCACATTGTCTGCTCGATGGTCCTGGAACCCTAGAACCACCCTGAAAAATAAAGCTAGCTTACTATGATTTTATTAATATAATAGTTTATTTTTACATCATTTGGTGCCTTTTTCTATCTCAGTTGTCATCCCTGTGGGCTTCCCACAGTTCACCTGTGTGCCATCACCATAATCCTGTGCACTGCCCCCTCCCCCATTTTTTATGCCATTCCTCACTCCACTCCTGTAAAATGTCTCTGGTATATAGTTGTTCATTATTATTATTATTCACCCCACCCTGTCCTTTATAAAGCATTATTTTTAAAAAACTGAAAACACAGAAGAAGAATAGAGAGCTGGAAGGTTTCAAACCCCAGCGCTGACACTTGCCGTCTACGTAACCTTAGCTTATTTGATCTCTGGAACGTCTGTGTCAACGTCTTCGACAAGAAGCTGAAAATACTTCACGGGCCTGTCATTTGTGGATTTTAGATTACACCCAGCACGTAGTAAGTGCTCAACAAACAGGGGTGCTTTCATTCGCAGGAGGCATGACTCGTGGCTGACTAGGAGAAGTTAGAGAAGTGGGCAGTGAGGACTCCGAGGGGTTTCAGTGGGTTGAGTCCGACAACCTGGAAGAATGATGCATGGACAGAAACGAATGGAGCTGTTCGGGCTTCAGTTTTAGGAAGACTCTCTTTCCCCAGCCGAGATGCTGAGGGTCTGTCTCTGAAACCCCACACCACCAACGTTGTGCTTTCATGAACTAAGGCCTCATGAGAACTGGGCCCTCTCTCTCCCAACAGGGCTGCCCTGGATGAGATGAGTGGACACGAGGACAAGAACGTAAGAGGGAGCTCTGTGCCCCCTGCCCTTGTCTGATGCCCACGGTGGGCTGTTCCTGCCATGGAGTTCCCTCCCCCCGTGTGTCCTTCCTCCTCCAAGAGATGACCCCCTTTATTCATCGCCAGTCCAGTCGCTCAGCAGCGAGCCCCCTCAGGTTCCTGCCTCCCCTCCCCTACAGTCTTCGGCATCTGGACGCTGTCCAACCTGGTTTCCTTCCATTCAGAGGACACGTCCCTCCTCCTGGCCGCACAGACCTTTTTCCTGTAGTGGGTCTGTTCAGCTGGCTCCGGGGACCTCACCCTTGGTCACTCGGCAGGGAAGTCTTCCCTCTATTTCCAATTCCCTTTCCCCTCCCCTCACAGACAGACATGTGGGGACGAATCTGCCTTCTGCCTTCAGTATTGGCTCCTTTGCTGTAAGTCCCACTCTGACCCGCGTCTGGCTGTGGGAGCGGTGGGCCCAGGGAGCGGCCTGCTGCACTTGCTGTGAGGGGCTCCTGTCCTCCTAGGATCTGCTCTCTTGAAGGTGACCCGTGGCCTCCATATTACCACACTCAACGGACACTTCAGCCCTTATCTTTCTGGACGCTGATACTTTTGACACTGTGGACAACTTCCTCCTTCTTGCTACTCACTCTTTGACATCTTTCACTCCATAAATAAATATTTCCATCAATCCACAAATAAAGCTATCTCTTGAGCTCCCAGTATGGGGCAAATTCTGAGACATACCAGAATAGGGTATTCCTCCTTCAGGGAATTTATAGTTTAGTATGAGGGAAGAAGGTTGAAAATATAAACAAATGTCAGGCGGTGATAAGTACTACAATAAGAGACACAAGGAGTAGGGCCTCCCTGGTGGTGCAAGGGGCTAAGTCTCAGCACTATGAAGCTATAGCAGCCACTGCAGTACGAGTTCAGTCCCCGGCCAGGGAGCTGACCCACATGGCTAGCAGACCTCTCCTGTCTCACCTGCTGCTCCCTTCAGCAGTGTCTTTCAGTCACTCTCCCTGTTCTGCTCCCTGCTCTATCTCTGGTGAATACTCTCACCCTTCACACCTCTAGCCTGTACTCCAGTACTTACATGTATAAATAGATAAATCTTTTTTAAAAAAAGGACAAGAAGGGAGAAGGGCTAGCGGGCAGCTGGCAGTGGACTGGTGTTGTGGATCTGACGGGTTGGCTTGGCGATGGCTGTGGTGTGGAAAAATACCTGGAAGGGGAGAGTCTGTATTTCTAAAGCATGCTGTAAACCAGTAAAATTAAAAAAGAAAAGGCGCTGGATGAGATTGTTTTCTGAAGAAGCAATGTTAGAACGGAAACCTGAAGAAGTTACAAGGACCCCAGTGGGGTGGTTAGGCATGAAGAGCCAGTGCAAAGGCCCAGGAGCAGGAGCTTGCCTAGAATGTTTGAGGAATGGCTAGAGGAACTTGAGAAAGGGCAGAGTAGGAGAAGAGACAGGCCAGGAGGACCTGTAGGCCTTGAAGGTCATTTCTAGGATTTTGTCTTTCATTGGGAGAATGATGAAGCACTCTAGGCGTGTTTTGGGCAGAGGAGTGATTTTAAATGATCGCTTTGGCCTTGGGGAACACGGTATGTTAGTTTGCTAAAGTCACCCTGAAAAAGTACAATGTACTGGGAAGCTTAAACAACAGAAACCTACCACCTCACCATTCTGGGATGCAAACCCAACTTCAAGGTGTCAGGGCCACTTGTCCTCTGAGTGTGTTCGAGAAGGACTTGTTCCAGGCTTCTTTCCTGGGCTTGTGGCAAAATAACTCCAGTCTTAGTGTAAGGCCTCCGTGTGTGTGTGTGTGTGTGTGTGTATCTGAATTTCCCATTTTTATAAGGACACTGCCACATGGGGTTGGGGACCTGTCCTGCTCCAGCATCTTACTAGCTAATCACGTGGGCAACAACTTTATTTCCAATTAAGAGCGTGGACTGGGGTGGGGGGGATTTAGGAGTTTAACGTGGGAATTTGAGGGAGACATAACACAAACTATAACCTGGTTCTAATCCTTAGTACCTGATTTTTTTTTTGAAAGGTGAGGGTGGGCATAAGGAGACCAGAAAGGAGGTTAATAGAGAAGCTGCTGGCTGGGGCCGATGTGGTGAGATGTGGCGAGGGCGCAGATGTATTTCAAAGATGACGCTGGCATCATTTGTTGATGGATTTGATGTCACTTGTGAAAGAGGAGAAAGAGGGGAGGTACACTGACTCCTGGGATTTGGGTTTGACTCATGAGAAAAGTAGAATCAGGCATCTTTTTCTCCTAAACCCTCTTCTCTGTTGGGGGACTTTCTCAGCAGCCTTTGCGGGGTCCACCTCCTGGACAGGATCTTCAGCTCTTGGGTTCTTCAGGTCCCATCCTGGGCCAGTGACTACTATGACCTCTTCCTGTGTTGAAGCCACGTATCCTGAATGTGCTGTTTGGGTCGCTCCTACAGGCCCTGGCTGTCCCGGATGCTAAAGGAGGAAGACACAGAAGCAAGACGACCTTGAGAGATTAAGCCTCTTGACCTGAAACAGGTAGCTTCTCCAAAACTCTTGACATCAAATGCTTCGAGGCAAAGAAGTCATCCAATTGTTTCTTTGACCTCAGTGGTATGAAAGATGCCTCAAGAAAGGGGAGAGGGTTGTCCTGGGCCTGGAAACCTATAGATTTCTAGAAAACTTTTCTTTAGAAATGGTCAGTGATTATGAAATTAAGCATCTCCTGGAATGGGACTGGGGGCCTCCTGTCTTCTCTCTTGACTTTGCAGAGTTGTTGTGGGTAGTGAGGGAGCCAGGATGTTTGTGGCTGATAGTTCTAGAAGTGTCCAAAGGGAGTTAGACATCGCTGGAGGATTATGGTATGGAATTCACTTTGTAAAACTTTGTCAGGGGCAGATTCCTAGGCCAAAGAACTTTTGAGCTGGCCCTGTGTCTTTTCCAGGCATAATTTGTTTCTCTAGAAAATGGACATATAACTCTGATTCTTCTGCCAGACCCAACACAAGCTATCTAAGAGGTCACTTCTTTCTGTGTATAACAGAATCTGTTTCTTTGTTGAGGGGTCAGTTTTTAAGGCCTGGTGTAGTAAGGACTGGATCCTCCATAAAATCTCAATGAAATTGGGAAATGAGGGTGACATTATCTAATTTGGTTCTTTTAAGGTATGCGATGTTTGGGTTTTTCCTTGCCATGTGCCACACTTTCCATCCCTTTTACATGAGATGCAGACTAAATTGCTTCCATTTTGTTTTTACTGTGCCTAATTTTTTTTTTTTAGATTTATTTATTTGTGCATATAAGAGCTGGGGTGTAGGCCAGAGGTGCGGGGGGGTGAGAGGATTTACCAGAGACAGAATGGAGAATGTAACAGGCAAATTGACTGAAGCACACTGCTAAAGGGAGCAGCAGGTGAGACCTGAGAGGTCTGCTGCGCCATGTGGGTGAGCTCCCTGGCCGGGGATCAAACTCACTGCAGTGGCTGTAGATTCATAGTGCTGCGACTTAACCCCTTGTGCACTGGGAGGCCTCCCCCCTTTTTTTTTTTTTACTGTGCCTGATTTTTGACCCAGCTCTTTAGCGATTGTATTTTAGGTGCTAGTAGGAGATAGATGGTTCATTCAAATGGAGTCATCCAAGAGAAGGGGCTGTTCAGAGAGGCATGAGCAGGGACCAGAGAAACCACCCTGGGCTGTTGGAGCATAGTCTTAGGGCTAGCAACTCCAGGTTGCTGTTGTCATGCCTTCCAAGAAAGGAAGAGAAAAGTACTGGTTATCAGACTGGAGAGAGAAGCTATAAGGGAAAGCTACCTCTGGTAGAAAGATGTAGTCAGCCTGCTGCAACCTGGCTGGGAAGGAGCCAAGAGAAGCAACACCCTGTTGATCTTCCCTGTGAGTTCCTGTCTCTTGGTTGTACCTCCCATCACTTTGTCTCAGCTGGAAGACCAGGGGCCAAGGTTGATACTGTCTGTCAATATCACAACCTCTGGGGCCATGGGGGTTAAGTGGACAACAGTGGAGGGTGTGAACAGAACAAATGAAAGACATCTGACAGGGCAAGACACACAGAGTGCTTGGATTATATACACACAGAGTGCTTGGATTCTATAAGAAAGATATTTCTACTTTAGAACCATAGAGGGTTTTTTGTTTGTTCAAGTGAGCAAAATTTTGCATTCTTAGTTCAGCTGTTCAGAACTATCAACTATCCACTGTGAGGCCTTTTCACAACTGAAAAGACCCAGGAAAGTCAAGTGACTTACTCAAGGCCATTCATTAGTTCACTAAAGGATTTCTTGAAAGTCTGTTACATTTTCTCAGGAAAACCAATACAAAACCACTTGAAATGGTTAAGAAACAGGGTAAAGCAGAATCTGAGCAAGTGCCACAGGAAAGCTGTATCAGCCCAAACGATTCAGCATTGAGAACACCAGGAAACCAAATTCCAAGGGGCTCCCCCAGCATGAGGTCAGTTAACTGGTTGCTTTCCCTGGAAAGTGTAGGGACAAAGTGGCCTCCAGGTGGGTGTACCTGTCCAGTGTCTATGCTCTCATCCCTGGGGTCACTTCAGGCTCAGGCTTTTTCATGAAGCGGACTCCTTGTAGCACATCCTTCTGGAATGAAGGGAAGAAGCTTCTCTTCCAGCAACCTTAAAAAAGACTGAGAAAATATCTTTCTAAGAGTCCCTCTTCAGCAAACCAAACCCTGTCTTTCATTGACTTGGATTGAGTCCCGGCCCCTTCCTTAACCAGTCCCACTGGCCAGATGAATGGCCTGTGTTGATTGGCAGGAGTGGGAGGTTTTCCTGATTGGCTGACTGCTCTCTTGAGAAGAGTGTCCGTTTTCTCCAAAGCATCAGGGCAAAGGAAGTGTAGGGAGAGGCAAGCAGAGCTCAGGGGATTGTTAGGGAAGGGGAGGTAGAAGTTGGCCACCAACATACTGGGGCATCTAAAGAAAACTTAACTAATTCAGATGAATTGTTGGGGGTAATAGTGAAAGGAAGCTTGCTGGTAACTTAGTGTTTTTAACATAGTATAGTTTCAGGCAGAACCTTCCCAAATGGCTCTTGTGGGGAGCCCTGGAGTTAGCATCTGCTTTTCAGTATGTCTTTTTTTCTTATAATGTAATAGTTTATTTTTACATCATTTTGTGCTTTTTTCCGTCTCAGTTGTAATCCCCGTGGGCTTCCCATCACCAAATTACCCGTGTGCCATCACCATAATCCAGTGCATTTCCCTCCCCCACCCCCATTTTGGATCCCATTCCCCACTCCACCCCCATAAAAAGTCTCTGGTATATGGCTGTTCATTATTATTATTTTCCCCCCTGGTCTTTATACTCCCGCTATGAGTGAAACCATCGATATTTTTTTTTTTCTTTCTGGCCTATTTCACTAAGCATGATCCCTTCCAGCTCCATCCAAAAACATGGGATCTTTTAGTAAGTGTAGTATGCTCTGCTACAATCCTGTTTAATTTCTAACTTGCTTAGTCAACCTTTTTTATAACTACACACTGAACTCCAATTCTGGGTTATTAGAGATTAAATTACAGTAATGAGGTTACTCATTTATAACCTCATCTATAAGGTGGGAATAAGACTAGCTCTTACTTTATAGTTTTGTTCCGTAAGGAGTAACTGAGGTAATTCAAGTAACATGTTCAGCAGCCCAGTGACTGGCTCAAAATATTGTCACATTAATATGTTTGTGTGCATGTTTAATCTAGGAAATGAACTCTCCCCACAACAAATATTATCCATTATGATTATCTCCCTTAGAGAAGAAGTAAGTAAAGGTCTTAAAATATTTAGTGTTTATGGTTTTTTTTTAAAGATTTATTTATTTGTGCATACAGAACTGGGGTATAGGCCAGAGGCTCAGGGGTGGCGAGAGGCTTCACCAGAGACAGAGTGGGGAACAGAGCAGGCAGATCGATGAAGTACACTGCTGAGGGGAGCAGCGGGCGGGTCAGGAGAGGTCTGCCACGCCATGTGGTCACCTCCGGGGCAGGCGGGAATCGAACTCATGGGGAAGTGGCTTTAGATTCTCAGTGCTGTGCTTTAACCCGCTGCGCCACCAGGGAGGGCCTATGGATTTTTTTTTTTAACCTGAAGTTTTTTGTTTTTGTTTTTGTTTTTTAAGACTTCAGGGACACCTAAATAGAAAATCTCATATTGCAGACAGTTAAATTAAAGATAGTATGGTCCCTGGCAAGTAGGAATTTTTAATATTATGGTAACATGTTAATGTAGTTTTAGTTGAACAATCTTTGAAATGGTTAATAGTCTGCTATTGCCTTCCCCCACGAACCTTCTTGCCTTTGGTCTGAGTCTAGAGTCTCTGGAGGCGCAAGTGGCCTTCTTTGGCTGTGGTTTCCTAAACTGGCGCACAGCTAGGATTGTAGAATCACCCCAACTGGTTGATAGGCTGCAGGAAGCTAGTGTTGGCATTTATCTCACAGCGGACAAAATGCTGTGAGTTGTTCTCTCAAGTCTATGGGGCCAATATGGCTGACCTTTCAGAATCTGAGAGAATGGACTGTCTGGTTTGGGGTTCCCAGATGAATGGTGGGGAGAGCACAGTTGGCATAGAGCCTTCATGCTTTTTCATCTGTGTTACCAAGCCAGGAGTAGATAGTTTTGGGGATGAGGAGGCGATTGGCATTCAGTAGGGCCTATAGCTAGAGGGGAAATTTCTGGAGCACCAGGAATTTATAGACTATAAAGTCTTCCACCCATCCCACCCCATGTCCTAAGTTATTGACTAAAATGAGACTTAATTTTTTTGTAGTTTTTTTGTTGTCCCAAGGCAGGTGGCCATTATGATAACTGAAGGAGAACTTGTGATAACTGGGTGATTGACCCTAAGAACCCTCATTCAGAGGGTGCTATGAGCAAGTGGTTCTCAGGTGTAGAAATCTGGTCCAGGAAACCACCAAAAGCAGAGAAGATTTTCTACCAAATTTTATTTTGCCAAACAATGTTTTAAAATTTTGACACCTATCACCATTTCATAAAACAAAGGTCCATCTTGTTGCTAAAATAATGAGGAGTAGATAATGTAAGAATAAAACAAATTTGTAGGGCCCTCCCTGGTGGCTCAACAGGTTAAAGTGCAGTACTATGAAGTTATCTGCAGCCACTGCAGCATGAGTTCAATTCCCCGCCAGGGAGGTGACCCACATGGCACGGCAAACCTCTGCTGACCCGCCCGCTGCTCCCCTCAGCAGTGTGTTTCACTCGCTCTGCCTGTTCTGCTCCCCACTCTTTCTCTGATGAATCCTGTCACCCCTGCACATCTAGCCTGTACTCCAGTTCTTGGATGCATAAATAAAATAATCTTAAAATATATATATCTTTATGTTGAAAACACTACTCTTTACGAGTAATTTTCTACATTCTTCTATTTTTCTGACATCATTTGTGAACACTGCATCAAAGATGGGTCTACCCTGCATCTCTCTAGAACAGATGTTGGGAAGACATGGGATTGCCTACTGATTGTACTGCCATTGAGGGTGAGCAAGGGATCCATATTTC